ATGTGTGAGTGCATGTGTGCATGTAGAAACCATGTGTGTGCATTGTTTTTTGCACATGTATATGTTTGGGTGTGTGTATTGTGAGTGCATATGTTTGTGTGCATATTTGTGTGTATTGTGTGTACATGTGTATGTATTTGTGTGTTTATTTGTATGTGTGCAGTACGTGTATATGTGTGTGCATGTGTGTGTATTGTGTGTGTATATGCGTGGGCTGTGTAAGTGTGTGTGCGTTGTTGCATTGCACATGTATGTGTTTGGGTGTGTGTATTGTGAGTGCACATATTTGTGTGTATGCATGGATATTTGTGTGTATTGTGTGCACATGTGCATATATTTGTGTGTTTACTTGTATGTGTGCAGTACGTGTATATGTGTGTGCATGTGCCTGCGTTTGTGTGTATGCATGTGTATATTGTATGCACGTGTTTGTGTGTTTGTGCATGTGTATACATGTGCGTGCGTGTGTGTGGTATGTGTATAAAGCTGTACGTTGTCCTCATCACAGCTGGCCCTTCCTTTCCTTGTACGTTGCAGAAGATTCTTGTTCCTGGTAGAACCAAACAGATTTGTGGGTCTGTCAGCACCTTCTGATGGCATTTTTAATTCCTGGGTTGGGAGTGAGCAGCCCAGAACAGTGTCTGGTGTTCATCCGCCTGGATCGTTAGCGCTGCCTTGGCGCCCACCCCCCACCCTCCACATCATGCATTTTTGCGTGTGTGTCCATGAACACACACATGTGCATACTTCTCGGCACTCACGGTCTGAGCTCCCTGTTGGGAGGAGGTACCCAGGCCTCCCTTCTTAGGGCAACGACTGCTCGGGGAGGGAGGCAGCACCGTACAGCAGGAGGAACAATGGTGTTCGAGTCAGGGGATCTGGGTTCAAATTCTGCCTCTGACAAGGACAACGTGTGATCCTGGACAAGTCACGTCACCTCCTTGGGCTTCAGTGTTCCCATCAAAAAGGAGGGGGTTGAACCAGAGCCCGTATGAGGCCCTTTCCACCCTGATTTAGTTGTGACTTTTCCTCTACCTAATGAAGATCTGTAATGCATGGTTTTAGAGACTAACCCACTGTCCTACAATTATGGGTGGGGCCCTGAGACATTAAGGGATTTAACCCTGCTTAATAAAGGCTTGTTGGTTTGACTTATTCTGGATGGGTCACGTAGGTGTGTCAGTAGCAGGGCTTGAACCCAGGACTCTTCTGGCTCCAAGATTAATTCTATGTCTACTGTCTCCGTGCTGTGTTTCCCTTTCCTGACAGTCTCTCTCCTTGTTCGTACAAGCTCTAACCCTTTAGCCTCACTCCTCTTTGTACTGGGAAGGCCTTGGGCTTTCAGAAATACAGCCCCCAGACACAGCTAAGCACCTGAACTCTGAAGAGACCACCTCTCCAGGGGCAGCTAAGTGGAGCGGTGGGTAGAGGCCCTGAAGTCAGGAGGACCTGAGTTCAAATCCGGCCTCAGATCAAACACTTGACACTTACTAGCTGTGTGACCCTGGGCAAGTCACTTAACCCCAATTGCCAAAAAACAAACAAATAAACAAAACCAAAGAGACCACCTGTCTGGGTCTTCTCGGTGGGCAGAGAACTCGGGCAGCCTGGAGAATCCACGTTGGGGCAGGCCCGAGTGGGCCCATGCTGGCAAGTCAGAGACAAAGTTTTCAAACTATTGCACTTGGGGCAGCGATATGGTGCAGTGGATAGAGCACCGGCCCTGAATCAGGAGGACCTGAGTTCAAATGTGACCTCAGGCACATAACACTCACTAGCTGTGTGATCCTGGGCAAGTCACTTAACCCCGATTGCCTCACCCCCCAAAAAACCCCCATTGCACTGCCCTCTCCCCACCACCCAGGCTTTCTCCTCTTCATCCTTTTATGATGAATTTGACAGTCATTAAACACAGACCTTTAAATACATAGAGAAGAAAGAAGAGAACTGCAGATAAAACCATCCATTCCTTTTACATACTTTTTTGTTTTTGAAGAGGATACATTAAATTTAATAAGTAGTAACTGGATGAATCCTGTTTCTTTGTATCCTTTTTCTGAACTTGTTTACTTATTTTAATGATTATCTTTTCTTTTCCTTCTTCCTTTCTCCATTCTTCCCTGTCTTCCTTTCTCTTTTCTTCCTTCTTTCCTATCCCTCTCTGCTCTTTCCTTCTTTCTTTCCTTCCTTCCTTCCTTCCTCTTTCTTTCTTTCTTCCTTCTTCCTTCCTTCCTTTCTTTCTTTCTTTCTTTCTTTCTTTCTTTCTTTCTTTCTTTCTTTCTTTCTTTCTTTCTTTCTTTCTTTCTTTCTTTCTTTCTTTCTTTCTTTCTCACTTAATCCCAAGCTCACCTCTTTCTTACAATCCCACCCTGGCTCCTGGACCAAATAGTTTAACCCAGCCTCATTCCAACCACTTTTACAGATCCTTAGGCCCTCACCCATACAGAATCTTCTGCTCAGAGACCTTTCCAATTCTCTATCTGCTCTTGAAGTGATGTTTTAGATGATGCATCATTATCTTGTGTTTAATTTGTTCCTTCCTTGGTCTTTCCACCATTGGTGTCTTTTCTGTTTCTTTTTAGAAGCCTTTACAAGGCCAGCATTCCCAAACCCAAACCTGATGTTGAGGTCGACTTCACCATAGTCTGGGCCTTGAGCCAGAGCAGCCCTGGACAGGCTTGGGCTGGATGGGACAATGTCCAGCAGCCAGGACAGTGGTGGGAAAACATAGGCACCTGTTACTTGATGAACCATCCTGACAACTAAATATGGGTCTTTTGTGTTTGTTAGGAGCCCCAGCCCATTTTGCATAAGTGTTGAGAGTCCTGAGTGAATGGGGTCCCTATAGTTCAGTGACCCTGCTGTGAAGGAATTCTCCACCTTTTAATTTCTGCATGAGCCAGGTTGGAGGCTAAATTGCTTACAATTCCCACAGAGTGTTTTATTCTATCCCCAATCCCTTCAGACCTTGAATGAGGTAGTTGGCCTATGGGTGCAGGAGGCAGGCAGGGAAGACTTGGGGCTGGCTAGCTCTGGGGCCTTAGAAGTCCCAGGAAAAGAATAAGAGGAACAGGGACATTGGAATCAAAGCGTAAAGGCTGCACGTACTGTTGTGCATTTTAACAATGATTCTTCCAGGAATATCACATGCTCAGGAACTAATTTTAGCCAAAGATCATTTCCCAGCTGGCTGAGCTGCTCAAAGGCAGGCTTGTGAAGATGAGCAGTATGGCACAGGGCTGCCACCAGCGCCCCTCTGCCAGCGCCCTCACGAGTGCCCTCTCCAAGTGCCATTACCAGTGCCCTCCCTTGGGAGCTCTCACCAGGCTCTGGGCCTCCGGCTCTGGGACTTCCTGGGCCCAGAAGCATGAGGGTGCCACCCTGAGGGGCACTGGTAGAATGACCCTGTGCCACCTGTGGCATGCCAGGGCCAAGCATCAGGTTTAAAGACAAAGGCCCCTTCCTCTCCTGCCTCCTGAAATTTAGTGAGGGTCCATCACACTTGTGACCAGGAGGACAGCGATGGAGAAGTGGCAGCATAAAGCTGGAACTGGGCTGGGGGGAGGTGAATGGCTCAGTTGATATGTGGATTTAATATCCCTGCGATGCTAGAGTGAAGGCCTGACTAGGCATAGGAGGGGCCTTGGAGGAGAGCAGGGAGCTAGAGGGGTACAACTGGGAACTTCCAGGTGTCTCTGGGGTCCCTTGTGGCCGCAGGATGGATGGAATAAGGGCACAGAGGATCACACAAGGCAAGCCTATAGGCTTAGCTGTTTGGGGGTGGGGTGGACAAGAAGGACAAGACAGGCTGTGGATGGGACCAGCCTCCAGGGCACCTATTAGAATGCCCCAATGCTTCATTCATTCACTTTGCAAACCTGCTTCAATCCATTTCGCAGCCAACAAGTAGCAGGAGGCAGGAGGAAGGGGCACATCGGGGAAAGGCAGCTAGAGAAGCCCTGTGGTATAACCAGGGAGCAATGGACTTCTGGAATCAGAGCACCCAGATTGTATCCCAGCTCTGGCCTACTACTGTCTGCATGACCTTGGGCAAATCACTCCCCTTCTCTTGGCTTCAGCTTCTCCCTCTCAGGAATCTTTAAGGTCCCTTTCAACTGTAAATCCTCTGACCCTTTGAGCTGGAACACTGATTTGTCAGTTAATCAATAAACATTTATTAAGAGCCTACTGTGTGCCAGGCATTGTGCTAAGTGCTAAGGATACACACACGCACATACAAACAAATATATGTGTGTGTGTGCATTTATACATACATACGTATATATACATATGGGGAGAGAGAGAGAGAGAAAGTCTCTACTCTCAAGAATATGATATCTAGGAGTACTGATATGTTAGTCACTCAGTCAATAAATATTTATTAAGGGCCTACTATGTGCCAGGAATTATGCTAAGGAGACACACACACACACACACACACACACACACACACACGTATGAGTCCCTGCCCTCAAGGATACATTCTCTATCATGACTCTACCCTTTTTCTAGCTGGACCACAGGTCTCAGCACACCGGAGATCACAGAGACTTACAGATTGGTAGAACATTAGAACAGAAGGAGACTTGGCGGTTAGGTTGTGCAAACCCCTTATTTTATAGAAGAGGAAGCTGAAACCCAGAGAAGGGGAAACTGCCAGTTTTGTGGGAGAATGAGTCTACTTTCTCTTGTAATAACCCTTATGTACAATGCAATGTTATGGGAAATTTTTTTATCTAACCTAAGCCCCTCATGGGGGCAACTAGGTGGCTCAGTGGATAGAGTGCCGGCCCTGGAGTCAGGAGGATCTGAGTTCCAGTTTGTCCTCAGACACTTGCTAGCAGTGTGACCCTGGACAAGTCATTTAACCCTGTTTGCTTCAGTTCCCTCATCTGTAAAATGAGCTAGAGAAGGAAATGGCAAACTACTTCAGTATCTTTGCCAAGAAAACCCTAAATGGGGTCACAGAGAGTCAGACACAACTGAAACAACTGAAGAAGAAAAAACCCTCATCCTGCAATTTGCCCTCCTCTCCTCCTATCCTACCTGAGTAGGCCTACTAATCCTTACCATTCTTAACATTGTAATAGTCTCCTTCTAACTTTTCCTTTTCTAGGATAAATAACCCTAGTTCTTTCACCTTTGCTCGGAGAACCGTCCACCATTTCTTTGTCTCCTTCATTGTTTTCCTCTGTATCCCCCAGGTTTTGAAGCCCAGAATTGAGGAGTCCTCTAGTAAGAATCTGACCATGCTAAATCAATGAGTGGTTATAAAACTGTCCATTTATATCTACACCCTCTACTTTATTAATGACAATCCTGCATCACTGACTCATGCTCAGCTTGGGCCCCACCATCCTTCTAAGACTCTTTTCAGACTCACTCCAATCTAGCCAGCCATGCTTGATGACCCATTTTTACATTATTCCTGCTCATCCTTCCCACCCCCCATACACACCCCCCCCCAGGAGTGACTCAGGGCAAAAGGAGATCCCAGGTAAGTTGGCTAAAGCATGGACCAGTTCTAAAATTCAACATCCATTCATGCACCAGAGGGGAGAAAATCTTGCAGTCTTGAAAGGAGTCACCTAGAGATGCAGATTCTAGTCTTTGTATTGTGACTAACTAGCTGTGTCATCTTGGCCAAGTCATTTAACTTAATAGATTTTGAGTTAGAAGAGATCTAGGTGGTCATGATCCCATTCCATCATTTTGCAGATGAGGAAACTAGAGACTGGAGAGATTAAGTCACTTGTCCAAGGTCACATAGGTAACAAATGTCAGAGCCAGGGTTAAACCCACATCCTCTGACTATAAATCCAGCACTCACTCCTATTATACCACTTTGCACCTCAATTTCCTCATCTGTGAAATGGGCATGATAATACCTGGCCGCCCTCACAGCATTAATGGAAAGGGTCAAATGAATATGGCGAATGGGTAAGTACTTTGAAAAACTGAAAGATGTCATACCAATTTTAACTATTTTTATCTCTTCTTTCTTTCTCCTTTTCTGTTAATAAATGATGGGGTCAGAAAGGGTGAACCATGACTGTGGACGTTACTGATAATTCATCATTGTTTGGAGGTCAGGCAAGAGGCTCCTACATAGGGAGATGAGCAGGAAACAAGGCCATCATATGATGTTGGGGCTTTTAATATGGGGAGACCAACGAGTATGTCGTCACTAAAATCTTGCCCTGGCAGGGCCTGGGTGGCTAACTCTGTTCTGTGCCCCGTTGCATCCTTGCTTCCAGCCCTTTAGAGCCCCTTACCCTCTGAGTCCTCCTACGACGAGATTACCCACTCAGGACCACCCCCTCTTCTCTGGGTGACCTTGACCCTGTGTTTCCTCTTCCTATCTTCCTCTATAAAGGACTTGAATGCCAGAGGCCAAAGCGTCAGAATTCCAGCGACGATATCGAGGTGATCTCCACAGGGACCCCATTGCAACAGGAGAGCCCTGAGCTGTACCGGAAAGGCACAACCCCTTCCGACCTCACCCCTGATGACAGCCCCCTCCAGAGCTTCCCTGCCAGCCCCTCCATCACACCACCACCAGTCCCAACCTTCCGAAACAAGAGCGCCCACTTCTCCCGGCAGATCTCTGTGGATGAAGAGCGAGGTGGGGAGATCCAGATGTTGCTAGAGGGCCGCGGTGGGGACTACCTAAGACCCAACAGCTGGAGCGAGGAGAAGGTAGGGGGGTCAAGAGGGGTGCGGAGTGGTGCCCTGCGGAGCTGCCAGCCAGGGGATGACTACCGCGGCCGCAGCTCGGGTCACAAGCACCCGTCATCGTCTTCGTCGGGGAACCACAAGCCCCGGGAGAGGTGGGCGGATTCCCCTGCTCCGTTCTCGTGGACTTCCCACCACCGATCCAACAACCACAGCTCAGGGAATCCCAAGCTGCTGGAGTTGGATGAGAAGCTAAGCAACTACGAGATGGAGATGAAGCCCCTCATGAGGATGGATTCTTATATGCAAGAGGTGCACACCCAAAAAAGACACTACAGCAAAGCGGGGGCCTGCCGGAGCTTGGTGGACGATCACCGCTCCGACGACAGGGCCTTCGGGGTGCAGAGACTGAGGTCCAAGTCCCAGAATAAGGAGAATTTCAGGCCGTCGTCTTCTGCTGAACCCACAGTGCAAAAACTGGAAAATCTAAGGCTCGGGGACAAAGCCGAGCCGCGGCTGCTGAGATGGGACTTAACCTTCTCCCCACCCCAGAAATCCTTACCTGTTGCACTAGAATCTGATGAGGAAAATGGGAATGAGCTTAAGTCCAGTACGGTAAGTGAGTATAGCATGTCTCTTTGTCTTCAGCGTGGGGGAAGAGCCAGGCCATAGGGGAGCTCTCATGATGGCGGAAGTCCTCCGTAGAGGATGGTGAATTTAGAAGAAGGGACCTCAGAGGACATCTAGTCCGAAGTCCTCATTTTACAGATGAGGACACCGAAGCCCAGGGAGGGGCTGTGATTTGCCCGTAGTCACACAGGCAGGAAGCATCAGAGACAGGATTTAAAGCCAGGTCTTTGGACTCCAGATCTAATGTTTTTTCCACTATGTCGCATGGTCTCTCCATTAGCAGGGTCTTAGGTTTGGGATTCCCCGATAGATGCTCCCAGTGGCCTACCCAGGATGCTGGGCTACCTTCATCATCCCCTGGCACACTTCGTAGTGTGTGATCAGTCGTGTCTCCCCCTGCCCCTCTTGCTAGACGTCCCAGCTGGAGGTGGGCTGGATCTATGAGACTGAGTGAGAAGGGGCCAGGTACAGGGATCACTGCCCCACAGGAAATCACAAACTGCTGAACTGCCCAGTGGGCAACTCAATAAATCTTTATTAAGCACCTGCTGTGTACACAGCTCTCCAGTGCATGGGGGAGATTCAGAGTTTGGATAAGGTACAGTTCCTGCCCTCATTCAATTCAATAATCAACAATAAGCATTTGATAAGAACCTCCTTTATGCACGGCCATATGTTAAATGCCAAATATATACAAAGACCAAAAAAAAAAAGAAAGAAAGAAAAAGAAATGGTCCTTGCCATTTCAGGAAGCCGACATTCTATTGAGGAAGAAAGCATCTACATATATAAGGTAGTTAAAGAAGGTAGTTTAAGAAGAGGAGGGCACTAGCAGCTGAGGGGGACCAGCCAGTCAAGCAATAAACATTTATTAAGTGCCTACTATATTCACGGCACTGTGCTAAGTGCTGGGGATGCAAAGACAGCCCTTGCCCTCAAGGAGCTTACAATCTAATGGGGAAAGACAGCACTTGAAAAGTGTCTGAGGGGCAGGGTACTCAGGGGGATGAAGCATGAAGTCCAGGAGTGCAGCTAGGTGGGGAAATAGGAGATGGCTGAGCACTCTCCTTAAGTGGAAGCTCTGGGAAGAGCCTTCCACCCTCTCTAATCAGAGGGAGAAACCCTAACCCTAACTTAAGAGCAGGGGCTACTGAGGAGGTATGAATTTACAGGTTGATATGATCTTGCAGGAAGATGAGAGAAGGCTATGAAGGCTTATTATGGGGAAGATAGTGTTCGAGCTGGGTCATGAGGGATGGAAGGGATTCTTGGAGGCAGAGGTGAGGAGGAGCTGTCCAAGGTTTGGGGCAGGGCCACAGTAAAAGGCATAGATACAAGAGGTAGGTTTCTCTGTGTGAGGAGCCCCAGGAAGGCCAAGCACTTCTTAAGTGTGGGGCTAAAATGAAATATCCCCTGCCCTCAAGGAGATTCTGTTCTACTAGGTATGGGGGTAACCCAGACACAGACGGCTAAACACGTAGAAATTGGGGTGGCATCAGCAATGGTGGGAAGCAGGAGAGCCCCCTTGTAAGAGGTAGCTCTTGAGAGCTGAGCCTTGAGAGTAGTGAGGGGAGTCAAGATGCAGAGATGGGGAGGGGGAGCTCATGGAGCTTAGGGTCTATGGATATGGATGTGGAGAATTCTCAGACAGTACTGAGGCATTGTGGTCTAGTGGATTGAGCCCTAGACTTGGAGTCAGAGGACCTGGGTCCAGATCCCTCCTGTGATACTTCCTACCTGTGTGACTATGGGCAAGTCGATTAGTTTCTCTGAGCCTCAGTTTCCTCATCTGTGAAATGGGGAATAATAATACTTGCACTACTTACCTCTCAGGCTTGTGCCGAAAGCACTTCCCAAACCTTAAAACCCCATAGAAATGGGAGCTATTCTTCTCAAGTGTTCAGAGGATGCATGGATGCATTTGGCGTGGCCCTCCATGGGGCTCAGAGAGAGACCAAAGGTAAGTGGGATGGTTTGCACTTCAATTGGAGAAATGAGGAGGTGGGATGGCTTACCCCATGGGTAAAGTCTGAAGGTAGTGGGATGGTTTGCATTTCACTTAGAGCAATGAGAAGGTGGGATGGTTTATCCATTGGTGTAGTCTTGAAGGTAGTGGAATGGGCTCATACCCATCTGGAAGTGGGAACAGCATTTAACCTCCTCTTGTTCCCTACATCCTCCCCAAGTTTCAGTACTAGTCCCATAAAACACATCAGGATGTGGTCTCTGGGTCAAAACTAATAGTAACTTGTGTTTATGTAGTATGTTAAGGTCTGCCTGGCACTTTATCCACACCATCTTATTTGACTCTCACAACAACATTGTGAAACAGAATGTGCCAGTTGTTATTATCCCCATTTTCCAGATGAGGAAAGGGCTTAGGTTCTTAGCCCAGATCCTCTCAGATGCTCCAGTTTCAGCTGCCAGGGAGAGTTTCCCCATTAGCTCCTTGGGGACATAAGGAAGACCTATAGCTGAGGTTCACCTGCAAACCTACAGCTTGGCAGTGAGATTTGTTTTATCCAAGTACAGGGTTTCTGAGGCTCAGAGAGATTAAGTGACTTGCCCGGAATCACACAGCAAATAAGTCTTGGAGGCAGAGTTTGAACTCGGGTCTTCCTGACTCCCAAACCAGCACTCTACCCGCTGTGCCACCCTGAATGCCAGCTCCTGAAGAGCAGGTATTGTGACCTGCCTATGTTCTGGCCCCTGCTCCCTATGTTCTCAGCACCTACACCATAATTACCCAAAAGCTTACACTCCCATTTATCCAGAATATCCACAATCCAGAATTTAATCCAGAATGGGAAATGGAATGTTCTAGTTGACTATTTTGGTTATCCTAGAGATCACACATGGATTACCCACTTTCAAGTTTAGAATGACTGCATATGATCACGACAGAATCTTTGCGGGCCTCTGGCTCTGTGGCTATAAGGGACCTTAGAAGGCCTTCAGTCTCACCCTACCCCTCATTTTGCTGATGAGGAAACTGAGGCCCCAGCAAGTTAAGTGACGTTCCCAAGGTCGCTCAGGTATTGTAGGCCTCAGGAATGGGATTTTAACCCCTCAGCCCTCCGGAGACAGTGCTCTTTCTAACAACATTATACAGGGGATGGGTGTTATTTTAAGGGAAGAGAGGAATTTTAGTCTTTGGGGAATTATGAACTTCCTGGTCATTTGGATTCTAGATTCTATATAAGTGACGTTTTACCATTTACCATAAGAATATTAAATTTACTGTTTACCATATAATAACTCACTTAGGTCGACACTTGAGCATAGATGTTAGAACTAAAGCCGGGTCTCCTAATTTCCAACAGGGAATTTCACACTCGGGGCTAGGATTAGTGGTTTGTTTCCCCTTTATCTCTCAGGGTCCTTCCAGGACAAACATGATGTGATTCCGTGAATCTATTACACTCCCAGTTCCGTGAGCATTCGGGTCACACTCCAGAAGAGAATCTGGCCCCGTGTCCAGGTAGAACGTTGAAAGGGGATAAGAGTTTTTAGACTCATAAGACATCATAGCTGAAAAGAAGCCTCTCTGCAGATTCCTGGAGAGACGAGAATGGGAAACATTGGCTACATGGCTGCTCAGGACTTATCACTCTCAGATGTCATGGGACACTAAGTCTGTGGAGTCAGAAAGACCCGAATTCAAATTTGGCCTCAGGCATTTACTAGCAGTGTGACCCTGGGCAAGCCACTTAAACTTCTGTCTGCCTCAGTTTCCTCATCTGTAAAATGGGAATAATAATAGCACCTAAGGTTGTTGTGAGGAACAAAGGAGTAATATTTGTGAAGTGCTTTGCAAACCTTAAAATCCTATATAAATGCTAGTTATTTTTATTAGTATTATTATTATATAATAGATTACATTATATATAATATTATAATGAGTTGTTGTATTATTATATTATATTATAATTAATATTGTTATTACCAATCACAGTGTTCTTTCCATCACATTGGGCTGAGTCTCTTGTAACTCATCTGAAACATATCTGCATTCCTTCAGTAGTCAGCTGGGTGCGGGAGCGAGTAGAAGGCAAGACTGAGAATCAGGAAGACCTGAGTTCAAATCCTGCCACAGACACATACTAGCTGTATGACCCTGGACCAGTCACCTAACTGCTTTTGGCCTCAGTTTCCTTATCTGTAAAATGGGGCTAATAACAGGACCTACTTTACAGGGTTATTATGGAGATCAGTCAGGTTCCCATACATAAAGTGCCTTTCAAACCTTAAAGTACTATTAAAATTTTAGTGATTGTTGTTGTTACAGGATACCCCCATGTCCTGATAGGAAAATTTTCTTTTTCTTTGTCTCTGTCTCTGTGTCTGTGGCTCTCTCTCTGTCTCTGTCTCTCTCAGGAAGTGCCTCTTTAGGAGGCCATCTGGGGGAATGAACATGTCTCATCTTCACAGAGATGAGGCTGCATCCATGAAATTTGTCCTGTCGCAAAGCAGGCCTATTTTTGCCTCTACCTGAAGTCTCTGTGACCATCTGTCATCCTTGCCAGTTGGCTGATTCTTAAAATACTCCTGCCCCGCCCCCGCTGCATACTTACACACAGATACAGTTGCCCCCCTCCTTTGCCATCCCCCTCCTCCCTTGCTGGGACCAAAATACCAGCTTCTACTTACAACTTTATTTTCCTCATCAAAGCAGCTAGGATATATATGTTCGTGAGATCGTGTGTCTGTGGGGCTATTTTCAGACAAGCCCGTTGATTGGCAGGGTGAAGGCTGAAGAATTATGTTCTTTGTTTGGGTGTTGAAAAGCTTCTTGGATTCTTTAGGTCACTAAGTTATGTTTGAGCTTATTTAGGTAGGAAAATAGAAGGTGGGGATCAAGGGAATGCAGAGGTGGCCTTAAACCAGTCAATAAGCATTTATTAAGCATCTACTGTGTGCCAGGCACTGTGCTAAGTTCTGAGGATGCAAAGAAAGGTAGAAGACCATTCCCACCTCGAGGAGCT